TTTTTATAATTTTTTTTTAAACTTTGTAATATTGACATCATAAAGTTGACTAGTGCATGTGTTTTTTTTGCAACTTGTTTCTTGAGGTTTTCAAATTAAAAATTCAAATTTAAACTACTTTTTATATTTTATGGGGGTTGGAAGCGATATAATGACTATATTTCTTATGAGAAGTGTTTTTAGAAGCATAGACATTTGTAGATAATTTAAAAAAAACAAATGACATAAATATATTTTCATAAACCATACTTTCATAAAGCATTGATGCAAAAATACAGGTACAAATTGTTTGCACAATCTCATGAAAAAAATGTAGAACCAGAAACCTTACAAAGTGTAAAAGTGTAAAAGCACTTTTGGATTTTTTATGAAATTGGCGGTCAAGGGTTAATTCTTTAAAACAAACATATGTACTTACCTGTTAGTATTCACTTGTAACTAAGCTTTTAGATGATGTATAGGTTTGTATTGTAGCATGCTTAGTAGCTTTTAGAGAATGTCCAGATCAATTATTTTTAACTTGTTTTCCTCTTGTTATTATTCTAACTTTATCAACCTTTTTTTTAGTTAACAAATTATTTTTCTAAGAAGCATGTTTTTTTTATTACCTGTTTTTATGACAACTGCGATGAATAAAATACTAACATAAGAACATATTGATTCTATTCTGCCCTGAATGCTTACCAATATAAAATCAGGAGCAAGATCTTTCAGATGAGGTACAGCTAGATAGTATTGCTTCTGGTACTTCAATGATGCCAGGCTTTCTAGCCCCGGCAAGTCAACAGTTTATGCAGCCTTTTCGTGGATTATTCGCTAACAATACTGTGCCATTTCCTCCAGCTTTAACTGGTGACACTATAGTTGATGGTGACTTTGAGGTGATGGGTCTATCATAATTTTGCACAACTATATACAATATATTTGTTTGGAATCATCATATGCTTGTACTTTATGGGTAGAGAATGTATTATTCATTTTGAGTATTGGTGTTATTTTCTATGTATATCTTGTGTTGACATATTGGTGATTTAATTGCACTATTGTACTTCATTATTCTTCTAACATGATTGTTTTTACAGTGTACAGGTGGGCACTATTTCATTGTCATAGGTGTCAGTATTTTTTCCATCCATGCATGCTTTCACCAATGCCATATCCAGTTTTCCAATCCTAGAACCACCCTGTATTCAGAATACCTGTCCTTGAACTACCCTTTATTCAAATTCCCAGTCTTAGAATTCTCCTGTATTCACATTACAAGTCCTAGAACCACCCTGTGTTCAGATTCCCAGTCCTAGTACCACCCTGTGTTCAGATTCCCGTCCTAGAACCACCCTGTGTTCAATTCCCAGTCCTAGAACCACCCTGTGTTCAGATTCCCAGTCCTAGTACCACCCAGTAGTCAGATTCCCAGTCCTAGAATTGCCCTGTGTTCAGATTCCCAGTCCTAGTACCACCCTGTGTTCAGATTCCCAGTCCTAGAACCACCCTGTATTCACATTACAAGTCCTAGAACTACCCATTGTTCAGATTCCCAGTCCTAGAATTGTCCTGTATTCACATTACAAGTCTTAGAACTACCCTGTGTTCAGATTCCCAGTCTTAGAATTGCCCTGTATTCACATTACAACTCTTAGAACTACCCTGTGTTCATATTCCCAGTCCTAGAATTGTCCTGTATTCACATTACAAGTCCTAGAACTACCATGTGTTCAGATTCCCAGTCCTAGAATTGCCCTGTATTCACATTACAAGTCCTAGAACTACCCTGTGTTCG